TGTGTGTGTGTGTGTGTGTGTGTGTGTTGGATACACACAATGCTTTTGATTGTTCAGCATTGAAACAGAAATATATTATAGTTTGCTTTTTTTCAAATTTCAGGACAGGCCTGAGTTCTCTGAAGTGGTTTCCAACCTGGAGGAATGCTTGTGCAACGTTGAGGTATATAAAAGATAATATAACAGACTGGCACTTGGACTTATTTACCCACCAGCATTTAAAACCCTGATAAATATAAATGTACTTATTCTTAAATGGAGCAACTGTTACAAAATCCAATTTCCCCCTTGTAAAAAAATTATTCTAATTACTATCCCACATTTTCCTGACTGTCCCCCTTTGTATCCCTGCAGTGTGTTATTTACTGTTGTTGTTGTTGTTGATCAGCTGATGTCCCCGGCCTCCAGTAACAGCAGCGGCTCCCTGTCTCCCTCCTCTTCCTCCGACTGCCTGCTGGGGCGCGGCGGCCCCGGGCGGAGTCAAGTCGCTGCGCTGCGGTCCCGCTTCGAGCTGGAGTACGCGCTGAACACTCGAGCCTACGCCATCTGGACCCAGAGGTGAGGAACTGAAGCTCCTCCACCCTCAGGGGGAGGTGGCGGGAACGCTCTGCATAAATGCCACTTTTAAACAATCAAGATTTTATCAGTTGAAGCTTTGCATTGACTTAGCATCCAAATAGTTTTTGGAGGTGAAGACAAAATAACTTACAACACTAAACAACTGCTGTCTCTTCTCACTTTGGCGAGTTTCATGACCCAATTTCCTTAAATATTGTCAATTTGTTAAAAATCAACAAACATGAATCGGACCCTTTAACTTATGGATCAATCAGTAAATGCAGTAAATGTGTTGGAGCGCAAATAGCAGCTCAAGTATGACATTTTGGTGTCACTGTGTTATAGAAGTACACATAGCTAAATCAAGGTGTTTCAGGCAGTTTTTCCTTGTAACTCAAGGAAAAACTAGTGTTTAAATGTCTTCAAATTATTTAAAGTTGTTTATCATTTATATGCTCCTGGGACCCAGCCCATTGAAAATGTCCTCTGTAGTGGACATTTTGTTAACATGCATCTCCTTTTACTCTTTTGAGCTACTCTATCAATCTCTGATGTACTGTACAGAGGACATCCTGGTCTTTCCAGTGATATGTCATTGGTTAAAATTGCATGCTGGGAAGTTCCTCTTTCTTTTCATCCAAAATGGCTGCCATACCAAAAACAAAATGTTATAGAAGCGGGAGGAGAAGTCAAATATTGTTGAATAATTGTAATTTTTACCAGGAAAATCCTATATGTTCTTGTTTATTAACATGTGAGGAATTATATAATTAGTTCTGAAAGCAATTAAATAATTCAAGTTTTCAAATAACAGCTCTTTTATAAATGTCCATTCTAGTGGACGTCAGGGCCATCTTCATGGACTTAATGACTCAATAATATTGTTGCAGGAGACGGAACTGAAGCAGACATTCTCTGTACCAGATAGTTCAGGGAGATTCAGATGTTGAGCTCTCAGATGATGAGAGAGATGATGATTTCACACCTGGGATAGAAGAGGGTCAAGAAGAAGGGGGGGAAAGATGCAGGAGGCTCCATGAGCGCACAGATACAGACAGAGAGACAGATAGGGACGAGCTGGAAAGACATGTCCCTCTGTGGGCCAAGAGTAGCACGTATGTCTTATTGTTGTTTTATTTGAAGTGGAGTCCNTGGGTGGGTGTGTGTAGTGTGTGTGTGTGTGTGGGTGGGTGTGTGATCTGCATATTTTAATGGGACTATGAAATTATATATTATTGAGTCTCACAGTATGCTGCTGTTGCAAAATGATACCTTCATATTGCTTGGGCACTGAGTCAGTCATTTCTATTCTATACGTGTTGTTTTGATATCCATCTGTAATTTAGATGCCTTTAACAACACTAAAGCATAAACGCTATAGTTAATGTTTGAGTAAAATAGAGGGTTTTTTTAGTTGTTTTTTTATTGTGAACAGCCCTGTGAGTCCCTTAATCTCTGACAAACTATAGATTATTCCTTAGTCTAATTTAGTAAAAGAAAGTTCTGATCCTGGTAATAAAAAAAATTTGTTTGGATGTGTGTCAGAGATAGCGTGAAAGAGTGAGTGAAACACATTTTCACAGTTTTATTTTTTCTTTGAGTCTCCGGGGCACAGTGATTTCAAGGTTCATATCTTTCAAGTGTCTCAAAATATGTATTTTGTTCAGTTACCGAAGATGCCTTTCTCATGATCAGTCCACAAACTGCAAAGGGCAAGGCTGCGACTTCTATATCCTATTGCCTATCCCTCCTCCAAGCATGCACTTGATCTTAACACAGAAAGACAGTGCAAACAGCTTCCCTCAGATTTGAGACAGGATATGCAAGCCTCTCCTGTCTCTGCTGTTACAAAGCATTGCATTAGATTTTTTTGTGAAATGTGCACTTCGACCATAGCCTCTGTATTGCATTCCAAACCTTACTCCCGGGTTTATTTGAAGGACAA